GGTCATTGTCATTTTGCAACTAAAAACGATCTTCACAATGGAAGTGACTGTGCAATTGTTTCAAATGACTCAGTCAGTACTTAGCTCTAACTTCAGGAGAGAACGTTTCTTCAAATATTTTAACCAGCTCTACAGATTTTAACCAGAAATGTCTCTTCTGCCAATATAACAATTGGAAAGACTTATGTTTTTAATACTAAAAAGAAAAAGTTAATTCAATGACCCTATAATCTGCTATTTTCTCATTTTCTTATAATTGACATATAAAAGCACTTGTAAAAACAGTTAAATTCACTAGCAGAGAAAGGGACTTTTTAATTAAAAAGCAAAACAAAAGTTAGTGAGAAATTTTAAATTTTAAAAAACCCTTCGTGTTTTTTCCAAAAAGAAGAAAAATAATCATCTAACAGGAAAGCCTAGGCCATCTACTCAAACAAGTTGTTTCAAAAGGTAACATGGGTAAATTTTTATATACTTTATGTCTTTCCTACAGAAAGTGCATAAGACTTATAATTTAGAAAAAGGCAGGAAGACTAATGGTAAGTTCTGAAAGTCTACTTACATGTACCTGATTATATTTCCACAAGGATTACCAAAAATTTCCAGCATACTCTGTTTACATATATCATTACCATGTATGGTTTAGAATCTAGTAAAGGCTTCAGGAAAACAGTGTTTCATATTCATAAATCAGAGGCTGAGTAAGTAACTTACAGTTTGGTCTTGTGATCAAAGCAAAGTGCTAAGTGTTTTTGTAGGAATCTCAGCGGTTAAAATATAACTTCCATAGAGATGTGTTGCACAGCACTGTGAATCTACTTAGCACTACCGAACTGTATGCTTAAAAATGATTAAGAGTGTAAATTCAATGTTAGGTGTTTTTTACCACAATTCATATATACATGTATATAATATAGTCTAATTTGAAACTGACAAACTAAACTGTTATTTCAATCGGTTTTCTAAGCAGTATTTTGCCACAGATAAACTCCTACCTCAAAGTCCAAGTAGTAATGGCTTTAAGATGACAGTTATATGGTAGAGACAAAAATTAAGTCTGCTTAAAATACTGCAGGAAGTTCAGTAGTCAAAAAGCCTGCATATGATCTCACGTGACATCTAAGCAGTGGTTCTCCAAGTGTGGTCCCAGGGCAGCAGCACTGGCATCACCTGGGAAGCTGCTGAAAATACAGATCCTCCAGCCCGGACAACACAGCAAGATCTTGTCTCTATTAAATTTTTTTTTTAATTAGCCAGGTATGGTGGCACACATCTTTAGTCCCAGCTACTCAGGAGGCTGAGGCAAGGGAATCACTTGAGCCCAGGAGGTAGATGGTGCAGTGAGCTGTGATCATGCCACTGCACTCCAGCCTGGGTGACAGAGCAAGACCTTGTGTACAGATTCTCAGGCCCCACCCCAGGTCTAGTGAATCAGAAACTCTGGAGGTAGGGCCAGCAATCTATACTTACTAAGGTCAGCAAGCCCATCATGTGATTCTGGTGCATGCTAAAAGCGTGGGAACCGTTGAGCCAAAGTCACTTTGCATAGCTCAACATTTGTGAAAAATTGGGGCAGTGGTTAGTTAAGGGGTTGAGCTCTGGAGTCAACGTGTGGACCCCAAGCCCTCTGCTAACCAGCTGTGGGTCCTCAACCAAGTGACTGGCTATCTCTGAGCCTGTTTCCTCGCCTGTAAAGTACATCTCCCTCATAGGGTGGTCAGAAGGATTACAGAGTCTACCTAAAGGCCTCAGCCCCATGCTGGCCAGCAGGGAGCCCTCCCTGCCTGCTGCCTCCGGTAATATGCCAGCCCTAGCCCTGGAGCATGAGACAAACCCAGCTCCCAGGAAAACCTTGGGGCAGGGGTCCTCAACTGTGTGTGCACCATGGGCAATCCAGTGAAGCCCACAGATCCCTTCTCAGAATGTTTTTAGAGGCATAAAGAAAAAGGCCCCAAATCACATTAAAAAAAACAACTGTATTAAAATACACACTGCATTAAAATAATAATAAATGTGTGATATGGAGGGAAAAAAAGGTAGCCAGTTCTATGACACGGAGCAATACAACAGCTAAAGCTGGTTTCTCTCTGTTAGCTATTAGATGCATGTCACTAGGCTGCCTTCTTGGCACACAGATCCAAGGCCTCTAATTTCTGAGACTTAATTAATTCATTTTTTGTGTGTGGCAGTAATTAATTCATTTTTTCTCCCCTCCCCTCTCCCATTCTTCTTTTATCTAAAACAGGGTCCAAACACCATAGATGATCTCTTTCAAGAACTGGACAAGAATGGAGATGGAGAAGTTAGTTCTGAAGAATTCCAAGTATTAGTAAAAAAGATATCCCAGTGAAGGAGAAAACAAGATAGCACCCTGAGCACCAAAAAAAGAGCACCTATGCTGTGGTCTTACCCTATGTGGAATCCACCAGAGTCTCTGGTTTAATTGTTTGCAATTATAAAGATCTGGCTATGAGGTTCAATTATTGTTAATAAATAAATTATTAGACATACATTACCTTGTTAAGTACTGGCCCTCATAACATAAGAGACTTGAAAGTAGCCTTAGTCTGATTCAACTAATTCTACAGATTTAAAAAAGTGAGAGGGAGAGAGGGAGGCTGAGGCAGGAAGAACACTTGAGCCCTGGAGGTCAAGGTTGCAGTGAGCCATGATTTCATCACTGCACTCCAGCCTGGACCATAGAGGGGAACCTTGTCCAAAAAAAAAGGTGAGGGCCGAGATAGCTCTGTGATCCTGCCCAAAACTACCACGATGGTGTGGGAGACTTGGAAAGAGTCCAGAAATGCCAAACCACCTCCCTTGTTCCACATTTTGCCAGAATCACCCTGTTGCTTGCTCTCCCTAACTCCTCAGTGCTCGGATCATCTACAATTTCTACTCTCATCTCACACTATCCACTAGCTAGTGAGAAAAACACTTCACAGGCACTTGACTTCATGCCATCTCCCAGCACTTGCTGTGCTTTCTGAATGAATGACCCTTGATGGGGAACAGAAAGAACACAGGACCTAGAGGCAGCCCCATTCATCACTGACCAAGTGGCCTCGGGTCTACCAGCCTAACGCCTTGGTTCTGGTGTGTGATGTGTAACGTAAAAGATCACAGGAAGACCTTGGGCCCTCTCAACTCTTGGCATCCTGTATTCTGAGAAAACAGTCAGCCCTCAAGTTCAAGTTCCACTTTTTGAGTCCAGCTGGGGGATGCAGCGGGTGAAGTGAGGACAGTGGGGAATACGGAGGCAAGGAGTGCAGAAGGGAAGGGAACTTTCTGCTACCCCTTACCAGATAAGAGTTCAAATGTTAATGTTCAAGTTCATCTAAGTTACTAATGGCTCAAGCGAATCCTAACAGCCTGGTCACAGCAGAGTCCTGGAAGCTAGATTTTTATTTCTTCTATATCCTTGAAACTCTCCTCCACAAAACACCCATGAAGTATCAATAGTATTGAGTCCCACTGCCTTTGAACAGTGTCTCTCAATCTTTCTTTTCTTTTCTTTTTGTTATGAGACAGTCTTGCTCTGTTGCCCAGGCTGGAGTACAGTGGTGCGACCTTGACTCACTGCAACCTTCGCCTCCTGGGCTCAAGTAATTCTCCTGCCTCAGCCTCCTGAGTAGCTGGGACTACAGGCGTGCACCCTGGTCTCAAACTCCCTATCTCAGGTGATCCGCCCGCCTCAGACTCCCAAAAGTGCTGGGATTACAGGTCGCACCTGGCCTCTCTCAATCTTTCTTAAGTCATTATCACCCTCCTAAGGAGCCTTGTTAAACATTTGTTTCTAATCGCCACCCCCCAGGAAATTTTAACTCCAGGGATGCCATGTGCATCTGTTTATGTGCTGTGTGCATATCTGTGCTTTAGACACAAAGTAAGACTTCCTTTTTAGCCCACTGTGCTCTCCCCACCAAAAGCCCAATTGTAACCCCATTGGGAGTGACATGACATGCCTTTAAACAATGTTCTTCAAGCCCTTTATTATTTTTACCTCATGTTCTAGAGCCCAGACTGCCACACTATACTTTCTGTAGTTAACATCAGAAAGATACGGGATCATTTCTACTTTCAAAGTGTAGAAAATGATGATACTGAATGCTTTTCAAACTACATAAGCCTTCGCCAAGAATCTGCTATATGGCCCTACCCTCAAGCTGAAAATCACTGCCTGCAAAGTACTGCCTTTGACTTATTTTTAGTTTTAGGTTTTTTGGGTTTTTGTTTTTGTTTTTGTTTTTTGTTTTTTGAGACAGAGTCTTGCTTGGTCACCCAGGCTGGAGTGCAGTGGCCCATTCATGGCTCATTGCAGTCTTGACCTCCTGGACCCAAGCAATCCTCCCACCTCAGCCTCCAAAGTAGCTGGGATGTGCCACTATGCCTGGCCAATTTCTTTTATTTTTACTTTTTGTAGAGACAGGGGTCTCCCTGTGTTGCCCAGACTGGTCTCGAACTCCTGGGCTCAAGCGATCCACCCACCTTTGTCTCCCAAAGTGCTGTGATTATAGGCATAAGCCACCATGCCCGGTCTTTTTTTTTTTTTTTTAATCCAGTGAACTTGAATGTATATGCTGTATTCTTCTGTCAAGTTGGCTGCTGTCATTTTTCCAGAAGCTGGATGGCTCTCTGAGGTGGGTAGTGGAGCACATGCCCACACTCCCACCTCATCTGCCCATAAAAGGCTGGGCAGTACCAGGCTAGTCTCCGGAAGGTTTGAGCTCAGAGAGAGAGAAGTACTGGTTGATGTAAACACAGGGGTGGTGGGGACAGGATGGCCAAAATAAACTGGGCTCAAGATGAGTAGCTGGCACACAGTGACTTGGAAAGCAAGGTGCTTGAGATTTCCTGGAAAATCTCTGCAAGTGCACAGTAGAAACTATTCTCATTGGTTACATGCTTCAAGAGGACTGGGCAGATGGGGTGGGGTAGGAGGGGGACAGGAATAAGAGAGCCACTATTCACTGGACAAATTATTGGACATTTTGATTTCTGAGCCATATGGATGTGTGTCCTATCAAAACAAAATAAATGAAAATGTTCAATAGTAAGAGAACACTTTGTAAATCCCCTGCTGCTGCTCTTTGTGATTAGCCTCACAGCACTCCTATTTGGAATAATCAAAAAATACAACTAATCTAAATTTTCGGAGAAGAGTATACTTGTGGAGATTTGGGAAGAAAGGAAATAATTACAGAAGTTTCCCTCAATAATAAAATGAAATTCATTGGAAGCCATTTCAAACATTTAGAAAGTTAACCAGAAAAATAGAAAAGTGGCGGGATACAGTGGCTCACACCTGTAATCCCAGCACTTTGGGAGGCTGAGGCAGGTGGATCACTTGAGCCTAATAGTTCAAGACTAGCCTGGGCAGCGTGTCGAAACCCCATCTCTACAAAAAATATAAAAATTAGCCAGGCACAGTGGCATACACCTACATTCCCAGTTACTCGGGAGGCTGAGGCAGGAGGATTGTCTGAGCCCGGGAGGCAGAGATTGCAGTGAGCCAAGATCATGCCATTGCACTCCGGTTCAGGCTGAGTGACAGAGCAAGACTCTGTCTCAAAAAAAAAAAAAGTGATTTCTAAACCACCACAAAACAGAGGAGATTTTTATAAACAGTTGAAGGAATGTTTAAATACAATTTGTATCATTCTAATTCAACACAAGAACATTCTCATGGTATTAAAACTCTTAAACATTTCTAATGACTCATTACATTCCACTGTATAGATACCCCATAATAGTCTTAACTATTTCCCCATTGTGGGGCATTTAGATTGTTGTCATTTCTGATTCTTCCAAATGTTATGATGAGTAGATCGTTGTCATTTCTAACTCTTGTAAATGTAATGAGTACCTATTCATATTTCTGTCAACATTTCAGATTTCCTTAGGAGAATTTCTGAGAGGTAAATGTCTGAGTCAGAGGGTATGGATATTTGTATGGTTTGTCAAACAGACCACCTAACTGATTTCCCAAAAGGTTGTATGGAATCACAGCTCTACAGGTAGGAAGGAGAATGCCAGCTTCACTCCCTAGAGAGCATTTCCTGGTCTCATTTTAACAACTATTTTGTTCATGATGGTGCACATCTTTTATTTGTTGCTGGTTATAATAATACCTTACTATTTCACCATGAAGTTTACTGTTGGACACTGCTTTGTAAAAGGTGTTCTTGTTTAAGAAGTACTGGTCTCTTCCTAGTTCATTATGAGTTGTGAGCACCAGGTTTGGATATTGAGCATGTATGGCACTACAGGGTTTCTCTTTTGTTCAATCAATATAATGTATTAATTTAATTTAATTCCTGGGATAAACATACTAGCCAGTCATGACCAATCATTCTTTAATGCTGTTAAATTAGACGTTCTAATATTTTATATAAGATTTTCACATCTTCATTCCTAACCAATGTGAGTCTATAGTTTTGGCTTTTATTATTTGTGGTGCGTGATTTGTTCAGTTCTGATACCTAGCTCATGCTAGCTTTTCATTTTAGCCCAAGTTCAAGGTATCAATTAGCCCCTTGCAGAGTTAATATACACTATCAACTCCAACATATATAAAGTACTTATTATGGGCAAGGCCCTATACAAGATGCCATGAGAAATACAAATTTCCAGACCTCCGAGATTCTAAGTCAGTAAGTCTGGGACCAGGTCAGGGGAAGGATTCATCAAAAAGTAGTATTTCAACTGGGCTTTGTAGAAAGAACTTTGAGGTCAGCGTGCAGAAAAGGGACAGCAGTGGGCATTCAGAAAGAGAGAAAATAGCCCAAGCAAACACATCATGCCCAATGCAAGGCAGTTCAGAGAACATGCACATGTTTGGGGTAGAATGCCAGGTATGAGGAATGAAGAGGGCACACCTGCTTGTGATCATGAAAGTCCTTGGTTGCCATGCTGAATCCACCCAAGGTCACAAAGGGAGCAAGTAGGCGTAGGAGTCACAGGATGACAAAAAAAAGAAAATTGTATATATTCAAGGTGTACAACATGATGTTTTCACCTATGCATACATTGTGGAATGATTACCATGACCAAGACAACACATTCATCATTTCACATAATTACCATTGTGTGTGTGTGTGTGTGTGTGTGTGGTGACAGCACTAAAGATCTACTCTCTCAGCAAATTTCAAGTATTCAATACAGCATTATTAACTATGGCCCCCATGCTGTACATTAGACCTCCAGAACTATTCATCTTATAACGGCAAGTTTGTTCCCTTTGACTAGCATCTCTCCATTTTTCCCATTCCCATTCCACCCCGGTAATATCATTCTACCCTCGGCTTCTAGTTTGATTGTTTTAGATGCCACATATAAGTAAGATTATACAGTATTTGTCCTTCTGTGCCAGGCTTATTAACATAATGTCCTCCAGGTTCATCCATGTTGCTGCAAAAAGCAGAATTTCCTTCTTTTTTGAACCTAAGTAGTAATCCACTTCCATTTTCTCTATTTATTCATCTATTGATGAATACTTAGGCTGATTCTA